CCCCCCCCCCCCCCCCCCGACGCCATCATCAGGGTGGGGAGCTTTCGCTTGATTTGGGCGAACGGCCCCACGGACACTCGGGCGGCGGGGGGCTACTCCACCTTCCTGGGCACGGAGAAGCCTCGCGCCGCGGTCGACGCCACCGCCGCCCTCCCTCCGCCCAAAACGACGCGTCTGCAAGCGACGAAAACGATGACGGGGTCACCGGCAGTGGCAGGAGGGGGGGCGGCCATGGGGAAGGGAGGTGGCGCCGACGGCCGCTCCGTATGCGACCCGTAATCTCCCTAAATATGTACGGGATGCCTGGAAGGTTCTCTTTTGGGGGATGCAGAGCACGAGCAGCCGCTGCTGCTGCTGCTGCTGCGAAAAGCGTATTAATTTTTAGAGGGCAGGGACTCTTATATAGCAGCCTACCCACTTGTCCTGCAGACAACCAAGTATCTAAGCTCGAAGCAACAGTGCAGGTTTTCCTTCTCGCGACGAAACACGTGACGGACGATCAAATACAATGAGGAGAGGAGGTAGAGAGGCTGAGGAATTTATTTTCTGTAGACACAGAGTACTGTTAGTTGTGTTCCCCCCTGGGCCTTTCGCATCTCAGTGGCGTCGACAGAACGTTTTCGACCAGGACCATCGTGTCCACACCAAACGGCTGCCACATGCAGCCAATTTGTTTTGGCACCATCTCCAATTAGCTTGGAGGCCCAAAACACAGAAACGGCAAACCGATTGGTCTGTAGAAGTACATGATTTTTTTTTTCTTGTTTGCGGCGCCCAAAGTGCAGTCAGGACCCCCGCCGGCGGAAACGACACGTACGTGAGTCGATCAATCCAACCCGATGACCGAATGCTTCGATCCATCGATCGATCCACCAAGACGATAGCCGGGCAGCCATCGCACCGTTGTTCCATTATTTCCAAAAAACGACATGGTGTGAATTAACGTACTTCGAAACGTTACCCCGAAATAGATGCGTGCAATCGCACGAACAATACAAATACGTGTGGTGGGTGTTCTCGACTGGGGAACACGAAACGTGTACAATTGTGCATCCGTCATGCCTGGAACAGTGGCGAGCGCAATAAAAGAATAAAAGCCAGTATCACCAAAATCCGGAACCCTTCCACTTTTACTTCATCCAGGCGGTTAGATCCCAAACACAATCGAGTTGTATCCTGGCGGCCTATCGTAACTTAGCACCCGGTACACAAACTGACAAGACACGTTACACGTTACATGAAAATGTCACACGGCCCCCTCTGGAGAGACTCCGCGAATAAGCAGCACACGGGGTCAGGGTGCCGGGTGGTTTTAAGTTCTTCGACGCAACTAAAATACAAAAACTTACACCAGCCGGTTGGTCAGATCCGGAAAGCAAATCGAGTTTGTCTCCTGGTGACCTATGGCAACTCTCAGTTCTGGTAAATAATGTGTGTGGAAACAGCAAACGCCACACGCTCTGGAGGGACTCTTGGGAATGAGCAACACGGGCAGGATGACGATTTCTTCAACGCAACTAAATTATACCATAACTTACACCTGGCGGTTCGTAAGATCCGGAAAGCAAATCGAGGTGTCTCTTGGTGGCCTATGGCAACTCTCAGCCATGGTAATTTAATGAAATGGACCCATGCGAACACCACACGGCGCTATGAGGAACGCCGGGAACAAACAAACAACACGAGCTTCAGGATGCAGGGTGCTGTATCGCGCCCAAAGCTCAAGTGCGACGACCGTGGGATGAGCATACCCCCCCGCCCCCCCGCCCCCCCCCCCCTCCCGAAAACCGGCCCGGGGGGCGGCCCCCCCCCCCCCCCTTTTCCCAAAAAACAAAACCAAAAACGCGCACCGGGGT